ATTGATGGAGAATGCAGGCAAAGGCGAATTTTTCACCTTCCAGTGGTGCCGGTGTAATGGCTCAGTATGCTCTGCATATCTGGGATAGCCAAGAAGAATCGCATCCGAATCGAAGTCGAAAGCAAATACATGCATATCTCCATTTGGCGACTTCTCAACCATGCAGCACTCACCATTATATTTTGAGTCCTCAACCCATCTCTAACCATGCATCATCTCGCCTCAACGACCAATAAAGAATTTGTTCCAATTGCATACAGGAGCTTGCCCCATTAATCTCCATCCATCACTCACTACAAATTTACGATGCTACGTATACTCGCAAGGAGGAAATTAAGTCATAATATACAAAGTTGGGGTCTTAGTTTTTGAGGGACTGCTGCTCTAATGGGGTCATACATCTTGAGGTAGAACAGGCGGCTGAGAAGTGGAACGAGAGGGAAATCAGGTCTCTGAAGACCATGCCGGAACTGACCTTTTCGAGGAGACTTCACCTTCGAAACTTTTGTGGGCGCCAAGACTAAGATTTCGGCTAATTAGCGAGGAGAGCTTGTTCTGTCGATGAGTCAACGGTACTGCCAGCGCCCTGGACGGTACAAAAGAAGTCAGGCTAAGCTTTCACACAGCAATCACGCTCTTTCAAGACTTTTCTGAAATTTCGGCACGACCTTCGGGAAGGAGCGGGAAGGAGGCTAGAAAGGCAGAGTGTGAATTTCCCGAGGTACCCACAAGTTACTCACAAGTCTGCAGTGCCCAGCTGGCCGGCCTCTTCAAACGCTTCAGAAGGATCACTATGTCTTCGGATCTAGTCCTAATGTCGGTATTAGAAGAGCTCCGCACCCAGTGGTTTTTGCGATTTTTCCGGCTGCCATACACCCGCAAATGGCCATCGCTTAGTTGGCTGGAGAGGGGAGATAATGAAGGGCTAAGGGCTCCTCTTAGTGTATGATCGAATGAGGACTTGTGAGGGGTTGTACTGTTTGAGGGGAGATGTATGGGAGGCATAGGAGGGGATATACTACTGGAAAAGGTGTCCTTGGCCTGTAGGCAGAGAGGACCTGCATGTCCTACATAGTCATAGACTCAGACAGGACAATAAAATGAATTAATAATTGATGGAGAATGCAGGAAACACTTTAACCATTGCCAAGGCTTTATGTTGCGGTAGCAAACATCTGGCCGATCTCCCAACTCGGGTCTGTATGTCTTGGAAACATACCTCACCTGTGAGAGGAGACTGCTGGTTCCAATCTGGCAAACTAAACCATATTTCTTGGAGTGCTGATGTATATGGATGACAAAGTCATGATTGGATAAGGAAAGGGTTTTAAACGCTCCATTAGTGGGTATTCACGGGGGAGGCTGGATGGTATTTGTAAGCAAACATACCCCAGTGGTATTTGCAAGTGAAATCCACAGTCCGATTGTCTCTGATGTTGAGTCATCATATATTAACGTTTATTAAATTAGGAGGCCTTCTATAGCTGTATAACTGTAGAGAAGACAATAGAATTATCACAGTGGAAGGAGGTCAGATAGAATGAGAAGCGATAGTGTGCTATTTACAAAATAGTGACGGACAATAACTACTAAGTACAAATTTCCTCCACGCGACTGATCTGCATGAGTAGCGTTATTGACGCGACTCCTAAGCTTGACCTTGACTGGCTCGGCAAGTTCCTACACCAACCAGACGCACCTTGTCATTTAACAACGTTTAATATTCTTATGATTCGTATCAATACAACCAATCAGGGTTAGATAGTGCAGTGTTACACCATTCGGGTCGTTCTCCCAAGCAGACTTTGGGTAGCTTGGACACCTACCCCATTTGTCGAATCACCAGTGTTTTGCGCGCGCTTGGATTATCACTGATCTGCGCGCGCTAAATTTACTTGTATTGATTGAGAGTTAATTCGCAAATTTTCAGCATTGCATTCCCTTTTGCTCTACGCGTGCGCTTCGATTAGGCTTACCAAATCATGTTCGTTCATTTTATTTATGCGCGCGCTTCGTGCTAGAGATTCGTGAGGTTGTATTTTTCAGGAGATTGACATCCGAAACTGTTTCTCACTCAATTAGCTCAACTCAATGAAGACTGAAAGGCCGAGCAGAAATGATATGATAGATGATAAATGGTTTGCATATGTATAAGCTAGTGGGAGGAGATCTGAAGAGGACAGAGAATTGAATCCACTTCAAATATCTTTAAAGTATCTCTGTGCAGTTCAATACCATTCGAGACGCGAGAAAGCTAGTTCGAATCCAGTAAGACCCACACACCACTCTCTCTCGCGCGGTGAAATTGTACTTGCGGGACGATGAAAGCACACTCGAATAGCCGTTGTGTTTTCACGCTTCTCCCTTTGTTTCACTGATTCGTAATTAGAATTTTAATACTAATATTGATTCGTGATAAGATAAAGGGCTAGTTAATTAAAACGATAAATTTAAGAATAGCTTCCCCTATACAATCAGTGATGTAAAAAGTCATGTAAGGATATATAAGAGACTCATAAAGAAAATGACAAGAATACTGCCATTAACGCGAAGGTATTGGCAAGAATTGATTACGATTAATTCCGGTTGGCTAATGCTTCTACTCTTGTATATAATAGTCCAGCGTGAGAGAGATTTATTCCTCACGCAACGTCTTCTGTTTACTTATCCTTTACAATACATTTGTTCACCCAACTCTTCTTCGGGAAGAACATATATCCAATTTCCAATTGATCATCAGCAAGTCCCACGAGTAACATCTACGGCAATTATTTGCCCATTTGTCTCTCTCTAGAGAAGACCTGTCATCTCTTTGACCCATTTATTAACTTCAATTACCACCTAGATCTTGACTAGGCCACACTGTCACAGGGGCAACTAGTTAGGGCGTAATCACATGAGAATTAGGGCGTAATCACATGAGAATTATGGCGTAACTCTAAGTGAGGATACTTAGATTTAGATCTCTGCTTGTTAGTTAGTTTCGTATCTTGTGCAACTACAATTATCTATTCTGAACATCCGAGTACTTGTACAACGCATCCCATGGAAGACTGACAAACCCTCGTCCTTGAGACTGTGTTGGGTGTGCACGGAAGAGATTATACGCCTGAAGGATTAACCTCGAGAGGTATCTGCAAATGAAATCTGTGTATGAGTGTTCTAAATGTCAAATTGAGTCGTCCTACTTAAAGTACATTCCCTCCGATAAAAACTTGCATGCGCCTCATGGCGCCAAACCAGGATAATGAATCATTTATTTAGTATACAACCAAGTATACAATAAATGTAAAAAAAAAGGCAAAAAGTGGCCTTTGATTCGGTTATGAAAAATTGAAATGTCGATGAGATAAGGAAATCTACTTCCTTTCATTGAACTGAATTAGATGGTAATAATATCGCTAGTAATAGGCCGATGAGTAGTTGATGGAGGATAACATTGCTCGAGCTGTATATCTAGAGGATGTGGCAGATTGGAGTAACATTCAAAACGAAGGTCAAACCTCATTGAAGATACTGAAAATATAAATTTTGCTAAATTTAAACTCGAACGCTTGTGTAATCAACCATAATGTTAAATTTCTGTATTGCGACATTATGAAATCAATAGTCTTAAGATTTGTGCTGAAGTCTGAATCAAAGATAGCAACAATCGGGTTCGAACGGCACGGTACACCTCTATAGTATTCTCAAAACGGTTTGAAACACCGCGCTGGTTGACTGCTACAACCAAAAGGAAAATACAGGTGTGTGTATGCTTTTAGTTTAAAGATTGATATTGGGTAACCTAACGTTATTTGGGTTTTATGATCGATTCACCGGCCTACATAACTGTCGTCCGAAAAAATTCATCGTCCTGTGTGGCAGACTAAGTGAATGAGTTAAGGATTCATTAAAAGCAGTATTATATATAGATTGTTGGGGGTACTGCGGTTAGGTAGAAGCCGTGAATGGGGCATAGATACTCAAGGCCTGTAAGTGCGTAGGATGAGCACGTCCCAGAAAAGTGTAGGATAAAATTGAGTATTGTAACTTTGTGATAGTCCCTCAACGTATGGTTTCATTTTATGACTATAAAAGATTATGTCACAAAAATAAAAATTGCACTGACATTAAGGAAACTTCCAGTAGTATGATTTTGAAATAATTTCCCTCATCCTTAGCGATTGTTACCCTCTGGTCGTGTCTACTTCACTACCCAGGTTGGCAACTAATTAATTATCTGAATGGAACTAGGTGACCATGTAAAACTTATAGCAAGCATGTAAAGTAAAATGTAGCTAGCGACAAAAACCGCACTTTTCTATGACTGAACGCTGTTAGGAGTAATGAAAGCCATCATGTAAAGACGGTGATTTACCAGGAATAAGTGGAAAATCGGATTGTGTGGCTGGGATTGTTTCAACAAGCGAGTAACTCATAAACCTAATTGTTACGATCTAGCATGCATTATTAGCCGAGAAAAATGGGTACAAGATTCTTTAAATTTTCAAGCACTCAATTCTGCCAGTCTGATAATGCAACTAAACTCAAACTACTTTTTATCTCTCGTCTAGCGTTAATAAATAACTCAGCCTCTCAGATAAATTTCCAGACTTGCTGGCTATATCAATACAATTGCATTTTTTTTTCGATCTAACTCGAGCAACTCCACTAGCATTTTACTCACAGAGCCTACACAAGATAGGACAAAGATTCTCACACGATTTATTCATTTAATTACATCAAATTTTAATTTCACAGAAGCCTTCATATTTTTGAAACCTGAGAAACTTTCAAGTTCGATATTCAGTACGTCCAACTATACTCTCTTAAAATCTTTACTGGTGCTGGTTATGATGGATACAACAAATAAAGATGTTAGACTTCCAAGTAAATAAGGCGGACACACTGTTTTTACTGAACCCTACACCACTATAGCTTAAAATCCTAAGCATTTAACTTCAGATACTGATTTTCTATCTTCTAGTATTACCCCGCAGTAAATACAGAAATTCAAGATGTGTGGAATTCTTGGACTAATACTTGGTGACATTGACGAGCTCTCTGCCACGACAGCCGCCGCAGACTTACATGACGCGTTATATTATCTCCAACATCGAGGCCAAGACGCCTGTGGGATAGCAACATGTGCTTCCGGAGGTCGTATATATCAGTGTAAAGGAAACGGAATGGCTGCAAAAGTATTTAACGATGGCTCCCGAGTACAAGATTTACCTGGATTTATGGGGCTTGGACATTTAAGATATCCAACAGCTGGAAGCAGTGCAAGCGCCGAGGCGCAGCCATTTTACGTGAACAGCCCATACGGAATTACATTTGCGCACAATGGGAATCTAATAAACGCGGATGATTTACGAAAATATTTAGATAGGGACGCCCACCGTCACATCAACACTGAGAGCGACAGTGAACTAATGCTCAATATATTTGCGAATGAGCTCAACGAAACTGGAAAAGCTCGTGTCAATGAGGAAGACCTCTTTAGTAGTCTCGAAAGAATGTATGGTAAGTGCATTGGAGGATGGGCTTGTACAGCCATGCTTGCGGGCTTCGGCATTCTTGGATTTCGCGATCCATATGGCATTCGACCCCTAGCTTTAGGATCCCGGAAATCTCTTACTCATCCTGGAACTATAGACTACATGATGGCATCCGAATCAGTTGCGCTAAGACAGCTAGGATTTGGCGAGATTGTTGATATACTCCCTGGTCAAGCTGTAATTATTCGAAAGGGATGTATTCCTTCATATCGACAGGTCGTTCCCCAGATTTCATACTCACCTGATATTTTTGAATATGTCTACTTCGCCAGGCCAGATACAATAATTGATGGAATTAGCGTTCACAAAAGTCGTGTCAACATGGGTTACAAATTAGCCAACACGATAATTGAAACACTCGGAATAGATGCTGTAAATGACATAGATGTCGTCATCCCTATTCCCGAGACATCAAACACTTCTGCTGCATCTCTTTCCGAACGTCTAAAGATACCATACTGTCAAGGGTTTGTCAAAAATAGATATGTGTTCCGAACGTTCATAATGCCGGGTCAAGGTACTCGGCAAAAGTCTGTTCGTCGTAAACTCAGCGCAATTCCATCCGAGTTTGCGGGACGTACCGTGCTGCTTGTTGATGACAGTATTGTACGTGGTACAACCAGTCGTGAGATAGTTAGCATGGCTCGCGAAGCTGGTGCTAAGAAAGTCATTCTAGCCTCAAGTGCCCCGCCGATAACGCATGCCCATATTTACGGCATTGACCTTGCCTCACCACTCGAGCTAGTTGCGCACAATAGAGATCGTAAAGCAATAGCTGAACATATTGGTGCAGAGGAGGTTATATACCAGTCACTTGAAGACCTTAAAGCCGCTTGCGCAGAGTTGTCGCCCCGAGGTCTTGAGCAAACCTTCGAGGTTGGGGTGTTTTGCGGGAAGTACGTCACACCTGTCAATTCTGGCTATTTGGAACAACTTGAACGCCTTAGAGGCCGCAGTGGGAGAAGCGATCCTAAATTAACCTGCTCTGGCCACACCACTAATTGCGCTGAAGTAGATCCCAGCCACTCAGGGGGGACAACTGAATGCCATGAACCGATTTGTGCAAACGATTATACTAACCGTAAGAGAGGAAGAGCTGAGTCAGAGACACCATCTGTACGAGACAGACAAGATATTAGGTATTTTATCCTTCCTTAAATAATTCTCATCTTAACTGAACTTGAAGTTTGCATAATTTTGCGACTGAGCCCGAAAGAGGGTATACATAGACAACAAGTAAATTATACAAGAGTGCTGCACATCATCATTCAAAGAATAATGTTGTTGGTCCATCAAACAGTAGTTTAATCCGTGACACAACACACCATACAACCTGATTGACGGATAGTTTATCTCACGAATGGAACCGTGCTCAAATTGCCAACAATCTTATCAGAAAAGGCAAACAATGAACTAAGTCAGATTAAAATACTGAAGGTGCACAGTAGCCAGTGACTATGTCCCACGAACTTCGAACAATCCGGACATCAACCAACAAATTACAGACTGGTTGTTGAAATGCAACGCGCACGTACTTCCATCTTACAGCAATGTATTGACATTCTTATTTTGAAAATAACTGCCTGAATTAAAAAAAATAAAGACGCAGAATAACTTAAATTTGAACAATCAGAGAGCTTGATGCTCATCACTATAATGAATGTCGACAAAGCGGATTCTCAGACAAGCTGTATGGAAGATTCAACATATGTTGTTCTGAAAACAGACCCGAATTCAAAGCAAAGCTTGCATTCTAACTATAGCAACCTCTACAAGACGATCACTTTATGTCGGACCAGATATGTAAAGATCAATTTTTCCGGTCCCAGTCTCAAATCATTTCAGGTTAAGATTAGTCCAAGAATTACACAGTTGAAGGCTTGGAAGGGCCATTTCGGTGCCTAGTCTTTTACGAAACTGCAATAAAAACATTTCGTCACTAAATTAATACCATGGAGCTTATCTTATCATACTACATCATGCCCCCACATTTCAAATTGTAGTCGATGTGATTCTGTATTATCCTGAACTTTGTAAAGAAAGAATAATAAGAAAATTATAGTCGCGAGAACCAAATGGATACAAAATCTCTCAATTTTTATAGTTACACTATGGCGTACCAGCGAGCAATGGTCTACGAGGTGCAAGTCCTGCTTGTCTCAGCCCATGAATACTTAGCGTGCTGGAACCCCTAAAAGAGTCTAAGTAAATGGAGTGAAGTCCGACCACCGTCTTGCACCTCAGAAATAATTCCAAGTTAATCTAGAAGCTGCCCCTGGAAAGAAGCCAAGAGAAATCCACTTAAATAGCAATCATCATCTTCATCTAACTTTAAAGGTTTCAGCAACATAGCCATTATCTCATCCTTGTAGATAGATCTATCTCAGTTGAAGATTTCTACTTAGTCGCCCAAGAGGATTGTCTTTCATACTAACTTGAAAGAAACTTGTGCGCTGGATGTGTATTCACTCAATATAGTGATAAAGCTAAACCATACCAAAAGGGATTTTGTTATTAAAGAGGATGGTCGGTCTTAGCCTCGCTATTTTAATTTCTACAAATAGAAATACGTTATTATTATTTACATCCTACACAAAGTCAAGGACTAGTACAAGAATCATCCTGCTTTTATTATATCTCAGCCCTTATTTAAAGAAGAAATTTTAGAATTTATAGTATCTTTAGTTATCTAGTTACGAAACATGAGAGTGAGAATTACTTATCTTGCATGACTCGTCGTTAGGGACACCCATACTCTGGCTTTCGCTCGAAATTTTCACTTTGAGGTATACTTGCCTGCTCAAACAGTCGACCCTCCCGCGTGAGTACCATCCAAATGGAAGTTTCAAAACCTTTGATTTTCTAAGCATCCTTTTTCCTCTGTGGTAAACTGAACACGATGGAAACCATTCTCGATACCTGTAAATGATGTCCCTCACTTATCTCCAGCTCTCACTATAGAGTCTGCAGAGCCCTGGTTGGATGATATCGTCCTCACTTCTATGAGTATTTCCAATCGCTTTCGTGGTCTGTATCGTCTTTATCTCTCACCACATCTATTAAAGGGTGTTGGTAATTAAAATCTGATGCAAAAAATAAAAATAAAAATAAAGAGTGTTGGTAGGTATGGTCGTATACACTTGCTATATTCAATTGAATGATTATGATTACTCAGGGGGCTTCAATATAATTGGGTGATCATGGCAATAAATGTCGTGTGTTGCGAATGGTATCTTATTGTTATGTATCATGTTACAGATTATTTATATGATAATCAACCAATCCCACATACTTCTAGATAGCACCGTAGCTAGTCTCTTTTAGGAGTGATATACGGGCGAGTGTAGCGATCGGTGGTATTTAATTTATCACTTACCTGTCTCCATTTCCCCATCTCTGCATGCTATAATACGCATTTGACGATCTACTACCAATGTGAAAAGCGCACTTATAACAACATCCCCTAATCACCGTTATCATGAATCTAATTATCATCAGATCAGATGGTAGGGTCGAAGCCCTTCTCGTCACCAACCCTTGATCATAGAGGAAAAGCCATCCGATGAGTTTCCGGAGCGTACCCAGCACCCGATACGGAGATGGTGGATTGGATGAAGTCGGCCTCGAATATTACAAAGAAGGGTGATAAAGATGAATATTCCATCCCCATGTGGTCCCGGTTTTTAAGCGTCGCCTGGCTGAGAGTGTAGCTTTTTTAATAACTTTTTTCCGGCGCACGCAGTTTCCACTGCATCCATTTTTTTGGGTAAAAGGTTCTGTGGAAAATGTGGCTGAATTCCACGGGTAAACACTGAGCTGAATGGCTATTCATCAAGGGGAATATATCAATGATCTTACAAGTAACAAAAGAGACAAGGAGCACCGTACAAGGTGTGTCCTGGGTCAGAGAGGAGCACAATGTGCTAGATAGTCATAGGATCAAGCAGTACAATAATCTCACACTCACTTACTCCATAGATCATAATTTATGATCCCTTTAGATTTAGTTCTATATAGATACAGATATATAAGTCAGGAACATAAAGCTAAATACATGTGTGTCTGTAATAGATCTGAGCATACGATAACCTGCATTGGAGGCACAGTCATCCGCTTGAATTCTAGTGTGAGATAAACACCATTTCGCATTAAATTTTCAGAAGGAGATGTGTTCATAAAAACGATATGGGATGGGGAATTTGGTGTTCTAATTAGCCAGACCTACAAATTTTGCTTTAATTTCCTTATCACTAATGAATGAGGTATTAGATCTTGGTTTCACGATTGATTATACCAGACAAAGAGAAAGTATATAACCATGTTATAGCCTCTGTATGAGATGTATTGTGATATTGTATTAAATTTTCTACTGTATTACATTTGAAGATTATAACCTTAATTTCATGGTTCAGTTTCGGGGAGAATATGTGGACGTCTTGCGCCATTAACTTTCTACTATACGCTTGATTGGAGTCTTAATTGTGCTCGTTAGGGCTTCAAACTGTTAAGTATTTATGCTTCGAACCTTAATCTCTTAGATTGGAAATATTTTTGGGCAGAGCTTTTATGCGTTTAGATTTTCGCTTTCTGTGTTTCTCAGTGTCTGAACATGTCTGGTCGCTGTCAGTGAGAGTTTTTTCGTATTCTAAGGGTTCCGTAGCCCCGGTTCGTTTTCTCTTCCTGTTAACTGTACCTTCTTCAGCCTTAATTGATTCAATGTTTGCAATTTTGGTTTTAACTTGAACGATTGGTACGATACAGCTTGTCCTACCACCTACTGTGACAAACGAAATTTTCGCACCACTGGGTAGGGTTGTCGCTGCATCCTTCTTTCCTTTCCCCCATCTATAATTAAAGAGCCAATGATCAGGAAACTTAGAGGAATCAGCCAGATGATCAACTGCGATCTGGCAAACATTTGACATGGATTTATGAAGTTGTTTCAGATGTTCTGAAGTTAAAGTATTAGTATACTGCTCAGGATGAATTTTGGCTTGATATAGTATCTCATCGCTAGATTTTTGTTTCAATTAGCAGCTATTAGGGACCAAAACTTTGTTGAATGGTTTCTTACCCGACCCAATTTCCGATTCCACTAATATTGGCTTGGTTAAGAAGGAATGCCTTTATTGGAACACGTTTTGCCGCCAATTTTGTTGCTAACCAGCTTTCCGTCACAATATTTCTGTCAATAATTGGATCGGGTCCGTTTTCTTTTAGAGGGGAGACTTTTCTAATCTCATCCTTATCGCAATTTAGGAGTCGTATTCGACCAAAGCGTCTAGCATCTGCGAAGGCTGCTTCGACTTTGGTTATGCCGTCCGTTTCAAGGCTAAATTTCCAGAATTTCGGAGGCCAGGTTTCTGTACTATCTGAAGGTATGGTACGATACATTATAGTAGGCTCGCCTCTAATGTAGAACCAGCCTCATCATCGCGTTAGTTATCTATGGGTCGCTATATCAGTAGAAGCGTACAAACACACCTGTCATCCCAAAGTGAAAAAGGGGATGAGGAGGCGAAGACATGACCATCCTGAACAACTTGATCAGAACTGTATATTTTAAACTCAAGTAGTTCTGTACCAAAAATATTTTCCTTGTTGATCAGCATTGATAATCTTTTTTCCTGCTATGGCCGTCTCGAATTCGGACGCCGAGGTTCCTCCCTTGCCGAAAACATTGGCATCATCTTGTGCTTTAACTACTCGAAGAGTTTTTCCAACTAGCGTCTTTCGAATGAAGTGAACAACCCTGGCGACTGGAGTCTTTTCAGTGATTTATATGTTGAATTAAGTCGAACTCTTACCCTCAGCGATTTCTGGCATTTTTCAAGCCGTAGATTAATCTTGGGTGAAGGCAGCTGTCACTGTCATAAAGCTTGTGAAAAGAAGCTTCCGCAATTTGATCCTATTGCTTGTCAGAATTTCATTTCCCGGCTCCGCTTCGGCAACGTGATTCCCCCCTGCTCCTTTGTGGGTGTGTGGGTTTGTTGTGCTGATTAAGTCTGTAACTATCTAGCACTTTGGGCTCCTCTCTTACCCATGCCACACTTTGTACAGTGCTCCTATCCTCTTTTGTGACTTGAAAGATCATTGATATATTCCCCTTGATGAATAGCCATTCAGCTCAGTGTGTACCCGTGGAATTCAGCCAACTTTTCCACGGAACCTTCTACCCAAAAAGAATAAAAATGGTAGCAATGGAAACTACATGCGCCGGAAAAAGTCTCAAAAAACCTGCAGCCCCAGCCAGGCGAGGCCTGGACACCGGTACTACATGAGGTGCGCATATTCATCTATATCTCCCTTCTTTGTAACAGTTGAGGTCGACTTGATCCAATCCACCATCTCCGTATCGGGTGCTGGGTAAGCTCCGGAAACTCATCGGATGGCTTTTCCTCCATGATCAAGGTTTGGTGATGAGTAGGGCTCCGACCATACCATCTGATCTGATCGTGGTTAGCTTCATGATAATGGTGACGGTGGGAGGTGGTGAGAGATGAAGACGAAACAGACCGCGGAAGCGATTGGGAATCCACATCGAAGTGAGGACTTGGTTACTCAACCTCGGCTCAGTAGACTCTATAGTGAGAGCTGGAGATTCGTAGGAGACACCATTGACAGGTGTCGAGAATAGTTACCCTCCACTGCTCCCTTAAATAAAGTAAGCATGAGGTTGCTAAGTAAGAAGCCAGGTTAGCAAGCTGTGGGGGCCTTTTAAATATATTTTGAATTTGATTTCATTATCTTGATATGGCGTCCTATGGGGCCATGCAGGTTACTGTGAACTTTAATATTTAATCAATTCATTTATTTTATTGTCCTGTCTGAGTCTATGACTATGTAGGACATGCAGGAATTTTAATATTTACACGGGAGGAAACATTCATGATGAAAATCCCCAAGAACTTTTTTCTTGTTAACTTAAGTTTCCACATATTTTCTTCAGGAATCACAGTTACACCAAATTGCCATCCATGTAAACTAACCAGATCATCTCTAAAGACCTAAAGCATTACTTGGACTGTTCCTTTTCTTCAGTAGCATTTTGTCCTCCTTTGTCCTCTGGAATTGCTCTATCCAACCATTATTTAGGATCTAATGTGTCGTCCTTTTGATGTCTCTAGAATTGTTCATCATGGCTTCACAGGACCAATCTTTGGCTTGTCTCCAGATCTCCGCTCTATCATTTGGCTATCGGGGGCAGGATATAATCATATGTTTGGGGCTGTATGATTGGTAGCCTTGTGGTGTTCTCTGGTATGGTTTGAGTAGCCTGGGCACCTACTCCACTTGGGAAAGAGACACCTCAGATCACATATCGCGCGGAGAAAAGTTGAAAGATGATGAAGGCATGTCCGGATAACTCAGGGTTTTTGAGACGTTCCCCTGGGTGGGTATTCACGGATGAGGGTTGACTTGGGGTGAAGAAAAAGCCACCACAACTTCGCAGTGGTACTTGCAAATGAAATCTGAGGCATGAGTGCACTTCCTTTACGTTGAATCATTTATTCTGTACTTTTCTTTGATATTGTGTCACAACTACATAGCTGCATACGCAATTAAAATCTGATGCAAAAAAAAAAAAAAAGATTGGTAGCCTTATGGACATCCTGGACTTAACTCTTCGGGTACTTTTCTTCTATGTAAATACGAGTTGAGCCCCATGTGTTCACTGCGAATTTCCATTGCCCATCTACTTTGGGCCCTAGTCAGGTTGAGAGGTAGGAAAAATGGAGAGTCTTGAAGTCTCTGTTTTTGCCTTCCAGATTTTCTGCTTATTTAAGATTACGCTGCTCTCCGAATTTCGGGGAGGGGGGGACTATTCTCAACACCTGTCAATGGTGTCTCCTATGAACCTCCAGCTCTCACTGTAGAGGCTGCAGAGCCGAGATAGAGTAACACCTTATTAACTTTGAGCTGAGTTATTCCCTCTCCGTCAAAGATACGCTTCCGATAACACATAAGACGACCAAGACGATGATAATGATGCTGGGGATGAGGAAAGATAATACGGTACCAAACGCTACAACAGTAGTCAGAGAAGCCCTCGTTATATCACAACACGTGCTGCCCACCGGCGGGCGAACAAAAAGCCCACGAAAGCAAAGTAAAAGACCCTTCCGCCCTCAATAAAAGCAGATTTCGACTCGTCTACATTATCGTCCCTACTAATCTTAACTTCGAATCTACTAGCCAGGAGGGCATCTGAAATACATGAGTTACTCGACGACCCCACGTCCGTAACGACTTTTGTATGCTAGGCTAGGCTCCTTCACGACAGTCACTCTCGACCAAGACTTTTCTGACATCCTTTCACGACCTTCGATTTGTCCTGCGACATGAATCAGGGGTGGAGTAAAGAGGAGGCTAGGAAGGTTAAGAGACGCTCTCAGTTATACACTGGTCTGCTGCGCCCGGCTAGCCGGCCTCTTCGTCACAGGAGAGCCCCGCACCCAGTGGTATCTGAGACTTTTCCCTGCAGCTACACACCCGCAAATGGCCATCGTTTCGTTGGCTGGAGAGGGGAGATAATGACGTGATAACGGCTCCTCTTAATATGTACTCGAATGAAGACATATGAGGGTATTACTGCTGGAAAGAAGTCGTGAAGGAGGCGTAGGAGGGAGTTCACTACTCAAGGCATAGATACTCCTGGCCTGTAGGCAGAAAGGACCTACATGTCCATAAATAGTTATATACTCATGAGGACAATAAACAATCACTCACTCACCTTGGATTTTTAATATTATTGTATAGGTTCTTGGTAAAGCTTGATATCCACTGTTGGTGCAGAACTGGTGGGGTCAGGAGGGATTTCTGCTCATAGGCCTAGGTTATTCGCATCGCGTATTCTTTCACAGATAGCGTAGAAGTCATCATCGAAATTTAATCTAAAACCTGACATCAAAAAAATTTATGATCATTATTTTATCCCGAGGCTGCTACCGCGAGCTCTCACGCACTACCTTTCCTATTACTGGTCATATTCTAAATCAAATCTTATCATCTCCGCTTAGAGCAGAGGATGTGTTCGCAAATGGCCCTAATTGACAGTCGGTTTCCTGCTTTATATTATTGACGCTTTTTAAGACTTCATCAAGGGTTGCTGTAGCCTCAAACTTCATCAGACTCTAGAATTCTGAAGCCTAATACTTCCGACATGGGAACACCCTCCAACACGGCTCTTTTTGCTGGAGCTCTCATTCGGGCAGCAGCAAGCCTTCGTTGCTCGACCTGGTGGATCATCGAAATCTGCTCTTTGTTCACCAATTAGTTTTTTGTTGGTTTAGTTAGGTAGTCACGACTGTTCTATCTGTGAGGCTATGGGTTTCCTTTGTTTAGCTCCGTTAGCAGTGCAATGAGCGCCACCTCACCTAATTTTTAAATAAAGGACAATTAAGGTCAAACTGAATCAGCTTAACTACAGCAAACGTACAAATGGTGCCTCGTTCAACCCAAATGACCTCGACATTGCGCAAACGTATTTAGGTATTAGATCATGTTGAGTGCAGCAGCTTAGATATAGACACAAGTAAACTCCTACTCGGACTTGAGCTAGGCTTGTGCCTGTCACGAATAAATATTTATTCATTCATTTATTCATTCCACTCAGACTCCACCATCGTCAAAGAAAAACGTAAACCATTTCTCTTGCAATATTCTGCCTTCGCAACTATGCAACAGAACCTCGATTCGGAACCCTCATCACATGCCATGTCCCATAGGCGATTAATTCATGAATTCCCAGTCGCGGGTATCGCCACGGTCCCCCGACAAAGCGGTGGGGATAACTGTAAGATGTGACTTGCGATGACACGTGCTATCTCGTGCCGCATATCTACAATGGACCTTCTGTAGAGCTTGTGGCTAGAACGTAAATTCTAAATGCTCTGAGTATAGGGAATCTGTGCGCCTGAATGGGTCAATTTTCCATGAACCCCCTCAACTACAGTGGGATTTACTCATTGATTGTGTGAGATTATCTGTGATTAGCATTACAAGATGATCAGGAAATCCAATGCACCGCGTATCCAGAATCCGGTTAACTCGTAACCCTGTCGTATCTGCCCAGGATTCGCAGGAAGGGCACAAGTATGCGTTGACTTGATCGGCAAGGGTTGTAACTCAACATTATCAATCGCTGTAGCCTTTGATCAGTAACATTAGATCTGAAAACATTCGTCAATTCCCAAATGGTGGCCGACCCCTTTGTTTACCATCCTTCGGTGGCCCACTATCTTAAGTTTGTAGCAACTACTGTTGGTCGCGACAAACTATTGCGCACGATCCAATACTTTGCGCGATTCTACGCCTGGTATCTTTTCCGCAAAAATCGAAGTCCTGGTGACATAGCTCCCTTTGAGGCGATCAAGAAGCAGTTTGGACTTGCACGCAAACTCATGCGAGTTGGAAAAAATGTCGAACACTTCAAAGCAGCAAGTATCGCAGCAGACGCAAAAAATTTAGATCCCATAATCAAGTACTGCGCTATCGGACGCCAGTTAGGATATGCTGGATATTTGACATTAGATTCACTTACATATCTTGATGTGGCTGGTATACGAAAGAGCTCATTCACCCAAGCTCTCCAACGTGAAGCAAATAGGTGCTGGATGCTAGGACTTCTATTCAGTACTGTTTCTAGTACTTACAGCCTTTATTCTTTGAGACAGCAAGAACGTCATCTTGACAAGAAAAATCGGGAGGGATTATTCACCATTAAAAAGATTGAAAAGTATGTGAATAAGTACTTCCAAAAAACACTCCCATCTGATGCAAAAAATTTAGGGAGCGCTTTACCACTAAGCTTCAATTAACTTCAGATTTATGTGATCTGACCATTCCTACTTCCGCTATTGGTCTCACAAGTTTCGAAGATGGGACTGTTGGACTGGCTGGAACCATAAGCAGCATAATAGGAGTATACTCGCAGTGGAAAAAAACAGCTTAGATCGTTGATCCATTCCGAGCTACATGTAAACTGATCAAGGCTATGTTGCGTCTGGCTTTCCTCTCTAACTCAGTTGGTCGAAAATTTGTTATAATTAGGTCACTTACACTCGATTATTGGTGAATTTGCAACGCTTAGCCTGAAAAAATATATTGTAAAATAAATAATGCAAGACATTTACTGAAGCAAAGGTCTACAATTTTCTTTAATAACGCTAATTACGTCTAAAGTATCTCCATGGATGGTTATTATTTTCACAAGCTTACGACAATAAGTGATCTTCGTATGAAATTTTGCTCACGAAATCGTAACGATAACTGAAGTACAAAGCTCTAACCATGCTTTGCGTCAATAGCGAGATCGAACCATCAGCCCGCAGGTCAGATTTTGACTGTTGACATACATATATGCAAAAACTTCATCAATCTTGTACAAGATATGTACTAGAATAAATCCTAGCACTTACTTGAAATATTTACCAGTAAGCTTTTGTAACGGATTACTTGGCCTCGAAATTTCTCTTAGATCACGCTGTACAAAGATTTTTTGTTTAGTATTCGGGGATCACTTAGTAAAAATAGTCTACTCATATTTGAAGAGCGTGGGTGTTGAAAGAGCGATGAGTAATAGAATCTTACTTTAATAAAGATTGATCGCTTGAATGCTCGACAAAAGAAGCCTTTCCTAAAGAAATTAATAGTGCTATGTGGATTAATTTCAGCAAATTATAAAAATCAATAATTCCTTCTAGAATTAATTCATCAATGCTGCCATTAGATTGCTCGTGCAATTAAAAACTATGGCTTGTCACAATAGAATTTTGAATCAGTCACAATTTCACATTTCTATTCTCACACAAACTGGACAGGACCAGCAAAACCCAACACTAGGAACTCAGTTAATAGCTTTAATTATTTACCCATTAATATCAAAAAAAATCGGCAGTGTGGGCTGTAAGAGACCAATGATCAGTTTTCAAAGGCAAAAGAAAAGATTTTGTATATTTACAAAATATTTTTCGAGCTAGGAGTCCTCAGCACTCAAGGTTGTCATACATTAAAAGGGGCCAAGGCATTTAGAATTAAAGAAATACTTACATATACTCGTATGTATTCAGCTACCTAGTTACAACAAATGACCTGTCTTTCATGTATGTCTTATAAACCTCATAACGTGATAGATGTCTATGCCAAAAACTTTATTCGGAAATGCCACTAAGGAATATGTCTGCTTACACAAAATCATCAACCCTCGCCTTTACTGGCAAAGACGAATTCTTTATCTCCCTGCGGTGCCGACGTAATTGCTCAGTCTACTCAGTATGTCTAGGATAGCCAAGAAGAATCGCATTAGAATTGAAGTCGAAAGCAAACATAAGCATATCTAAATCGTCGACTTTTCTTCAGTGTCTAATCATTCTCGCGCAAGTCCTTCAACTTAATCTTACCATTTACCACTTCGCTTCAACGACTGATCAAATAGCTGATCTAATTGCCAACAACAGCTTACCTCATTGTTTACCAGCCAGTCCCCATGAAATAATTAGGATTCAACGTTTACTTACGAGGAGGGAATCATGTTATAGGATACAAAGTTCGGATCCTGAGTTTATGGGGGACTGTTGATCTTATGTAGCTCTCTTAACATGAGCAAGGATAGACAATCGGATCATGGGATGAGAAGAGAAGAAGTTACCTATGGACATGCTGGGACTAATATTTTTCGCTGATGCTTCGATCTTGTAACAATTATGGGTATCAAGACTAAGATTTCGGATAGTGCTACCAACACGTTAAGTATAGAATACGACATATTTGCTCCGGTGGATGATTATGTGAGAAATTGACTACGATCAGTGTGGAAATACTTTTCGTGAGTTATGGTGTTCACATAGAAAATAGTCTTTTGGTGGATGACATTGGGGGGAGTTGATATTATCTATTTTATTCTTATATCCTATTTACCTTCTCCTCATAATTTAACCCTCTATGCTACAAAATAGCGAGTTTGGATAAATTCAGCGGTTTTGACACGCCGCGAAAAGCGTCAACAGCACACAAATCTGAAAGCACTAGAGCGCAGAAGGCTTCAAAGTATAGTAGCTTGGAAATCCTAGGGAAAAAGTTTAGAAAGGACATACAAATTTTAATGGGTATGATGGATGAGGAAGACCACCTAAAAAGGACGGTACCAGTGAAGCTATGAAGGCTTACAATTGTCAAAAGAATACCTGAACAGATATGTCCTAGAACAAGTCTTCAATTAATGAGAGAATGATGGTTCTCGAGGAGGTTATCAAGAAAAGCCTCACGGATTCCGGTCGAAATGCTGTTCCAGGAGTAGCGTCGGGGATACAAACTAATAGCTTACGCGTCTGATATAGCCCCACAAATGATGAAAATTGTAGCCCTAATTCGAATCGACGGGGCAAGAAATCTGAATCTAGAAGAGTTGCTTTCAAAGGTGAAAAAAATTATCTAACGTGCATACGCAATTCGCTAGATTCGAAGCAACAACACCGAGGTGTTAACTCAGTCGGCGTCTGAGAAAGACGCGGCGCTAAATATGTCACAACCAACCGACATCAAAATTCTTATGGCAGGATATTTATGTGGGATAAACTGGTGTCCCTCCGCGGACAAGAATTGAAGGCAGCAAAGCTACCGATAACTACATAATCATCAATGAGATTGCGAAAGCGATTGGTGTTGGAAATGGAGACACGGAGTGTTGTGGACGTATGGGCCCTCCATTTCGTCTAGGTTCCCGACACGATCTCGTGTGTATTTAAGAGGTTGGAGTAGGTAATATGGTAGCGCTTCAGGCTACCTATTGGAGACATGAGCGGCTATATGGCGTGGGCACAAGGAGGTTATCGGGGGTTTTCTATGCCTAGATGGCACCACACTCGTTTATGCTGTGGCTTAGGCTCTGTGTCGCTTACACTTGTACTTGTAGCGCACACTTCCCACACTTTTAGCTGTAATCCGAACATGACACTCTTTTAGTCAACTTCTACTTTCGTTCCATGAGTATTGCGCCCATTTCATTGCGCGATATTTCCAAAAATTGGGGCTCGGATTCTCGGCCTTACAATCAATGAAATAAGGTGTTATATGATCGAGAGTTACAGTGGCCAAAACAAAATGGCTTCAACAGAGGATCAATCGTAGTCAGCCTCTTATCTAGGGCAATATAAACCGAGGTGGTACGACACGGTCATATGATTAATTCCATGCCCTTAGCCGCGCAGGTGTAGTCACCACAGGCATAACCAAAGTTGTTACGGCTTGCGTCAATGACATTGAAGATCGCCGTTAGCCAAAGCTATCTTAGTAATAACTACGATTCCTTTGGCTAACGACGATCTTCAATGTCATTAGCGCAAGAAGTAACAAGTTTGAGAAGCTTATTTACATATGATCACCTTGTCACGAATGGAAATAAATACTGCCCTGCCTTCATATCCTTGAAGATCCCATAGCTTAGGGGACTAGGAGCTAGGGACTAGGGTTGGCGATGTCGAATCACTGGTACATAAATACGTAACACTACCGGGGGTGCAATAGAACAGGAAATATATAGAGCGCAGTAGCCCATAGATGAAAGGCTAGACAACCTTCTGCTTAATCTAGACCTCGATATTGATCACCCGGTGAATCCGATATCGTGAGTACTGAGCGATAATTGACCTATGTCACCCACTAGTACCCCCAAAAATAATTATTTTTGCAGAGCTACCGCTTAAATATTAATCAAAAAAATTCGATTTTTTGATACCGTCATGATGAGCGCACCTGGAAATTTTCCAGATTCTTTTCTTCCTGAGGAAGACATAGTTCCACAGAGAGAACTAGGAACGACATATCATCGAACAATAGAAGCCTTGCAGCAAGCCATGGAGGAAAGATTTGCAGCTACTGATAGACTACTAGATAGACTAGAAAACAAAATAGATTTGAGATCCGATTTAATGATGAAAGAGTTTGCCAAACTCTCAACTCGTCTGACAGACACATCAAAATTCGATAACTCAAGCAGCAGCAAGAATCAATCTTTCGAATCCGGTCACTAGGCAAAAGTCGAAGAGGAGCAGAGGCATGACACCCATCCCACTCTATTGAAGGACGCACCCAATTCCACGACTTTACCAACTCAACAAAACCCCTCCGACTGGGCTAGAATTCCAGATGGCCGTATTAGCCTTTTTCGAACGATTGCCCCGTTCCATAACAATATGACAATCCGAAAGAAATATGTTAAAGATATCTGGTCGGAAGCCAGATTTAAGTCGGAAGAGTGCAGGCGATACTATAAACACTTCCATGGTTGGATGGTGCGGTGTTACATCGTCTTGGACGGTCTGACAAGTAAAGATTGGATAGTTTGAACACATATCCCACTCGAGACAGTGGATCGCTGCTTCAAATCCGGCAAAACACAACCACTTTTCTCGCGGCGCTGGTATGCATAGATGACGAAGGCATGCTTGGAAAACCATAGGTTTCGAAATTCCCTTTTTGTGGGTACTCACGGAGGAGGGTCGACTGTTTGTGTAAGCAAGCATACCTCATAGTGGTATTTGTCAATGAAATTCAGAGTATGAGTGTCTCTAACGTCATAAGGGTTATCCAATATGTATATATAGAACCGGTCGTGTGTCATAGCTCTATATCTGCATACACATTAAATGATTTAAAAAAAGTCGGAAACTTTTTATTTAGATTCAGGTAGCTGCATTGACAGAAATAAACTCGTTTTGAGGCCGGAATGGAAACTAACCAGTGCATCAAATGATATTTTCTCAAAACCGAGGAACATTCCAACCGCCCTGTATCTAGCCATGATACCATATAACCCATGGCCGCAACAGGTAGCCATCTTTATGGAAAATGATTTCTTTCTTAGCGCGCCCCGATCTCTAGAGAGATGAATCTCATCTAGGTTATGCTTGGCGTGGGCGAAACGGTCTTTTCAATATTTCGATGCACAACAGAGGT